ATCAGTCCTTTATCTCTTTTAAGCACATGAAGCGCAGGGAGATGCAGGAAGGAAGTTTAGTTGACATAATCTCTGCCCTTTGGAGAAAGAAACCCAAAACTTATTGAAAACCATGACTTTATTTTTCTCACATTGATATCCATGTTTTTTCCCTTTATTTACGAACTGAATTTTATTCACAAAGCTTTATTTCAACATTCCCATGAACATGACAAGAAAATTATTTGGCAACGCATAATCAGACAATCATGGGAAAAACATAGGACAATTTGACACCACTAAAATATTTCATTCTTTATACACATACCTTCACTCCTCAAGGAGCAAATGACCAACAATGCCATCAAAATTAGCAAATTTATTTGTGTTAATGTAACCTTACTTACCTAACGGTTGGTGTGTGCCCTAGGGTATCATCAAGATAGATGATCTTTGCCGAACGCTGTGTCACAGAAGAGTTTGGATGATAAAACTCCACTCTTGCCTGGAGTAGACTAACCTTGGCTAAATCATAAGATAACCCTGACAGGCAGAGAGAGAGAATTTGTCACCTTTAAGTGTTTTTCTACATGATATTTTATAATGATAACAACAACATTCATGTTTCCCAAAGACTTTACAAGTAACTGAGTACCTACCTTGAACTGGTAACCTATTGCTTATCCCCTGCTATAGCTAGACTATTTCAGTCTAACTTTATCCCCAACCCTCCTAGGTGAAATGGATCCCTGTGGCAGCCATTACTCACAATCACCAAGATTCCTACTTTCTAGGAATCTTGGTGATTCCTAGAAATGTAAACATAGCCCTTAAAGTTAGGTAATGACCATGTAACTTTCCTTGACCAGAGAAATGTGAGAAGTGACCTGTATCACTTCTGGGTGAAAGCACTTGAGGTTTGGTGCGTAGTCCTCTGCATCCTCTCTGCCATGGTGCTCAGGGAAATTCACAGGAATGAAGCAGGCTAGAACAATGAGTCACTGTGATAGCAGCACTGGAAATTTTGCATGAGGAGGAAATTTACTTTTGTTGTATTAAGCCACTGAGATTTTGATGGCATTTGTTACAGCAATATAATTTAGCCTACCCTAACTGATACAATCTCTCACTAGCTCGGTCACCATTTATGTAGCATCCCACAACTGCATATGTTACTGTTACACCAGTAGGTGGTATATACATATACATGAGTTGACACCAGTCACTGTTGAGAGCAATATCTCAAAGAAATACCTGGGAACAGCAGGAAGGTAGTTGGGATAAATCACACTGGGTTCCACACCCTTGCCATGTCCCTGGATTAGCACTGAGGGCTCTCCAATGTAAATAATCATCTTGATTTATCATCAAGGAGGTATCAGTTTTATGGGAGGAGAAAGGGGTTTAATTTAGAACACACTAAAATCTAGTGGGCAGCCACATTGACCAATGGAATAGAATAGAGAACATAGAAATAAAGCAACAGATTTATAGCCAACTGATCTTTGACAAAGCTGACAAGAACTTGCACTGGGAAAGGACATCCTCTTAAATTAATGGTGCTGAGAACATGGAATAGCCACATTCAGAAGAGTGAAACTGGACCCCCTATCTCTCAACATATACAAAAATCAACTAAAAATGGATTAAAAACTTAAAGGTAAGACCCCAAACTATAAAAATACTAGAAGAAAACTAGGAAAAACTCTCCTGGACATTGGTCTAGGTAAAGAATTTATAACTAAGATCTCAATAACACAGACAACAAAAACAAAAATAGACAAATGTAATTTAATTAAGCTAAAAGAAATTCTGCACAGCAAAAGAAATAACAGAATGAAAGACAACCTGTTGAATGAGAGAAAATATTTGCCAAATATTCGTTTTACAGGGGACTAATATCTAGAATACATAAGGAACTCAAACAACTCAACCGGAAAAAAAAAAACTAAACCCATCAAAAAGTGGGCAAAGGACATGAGTAGACCTTTTTCAAAATAAGACTACAAATAGCCAACAGGTTTAAGGAAAAAAATGTACAACATTATTAATAATTAAAGAAACTCAAATCAAAACCACAATGAGATATCATCTATCATACCCCAGTCAGAATGGCTATTATTAAAGAGACAAACAAAATAGCAAATGCTGGCTGGGATGTGCAGAAGAGAACTCTTTAATACACTGTTAGTGGGAATATAAAGTTGTATAGCCACTATATAAAACAGCATGGCAATTTCTCAAGAAAACTATAAATAGAATTACCATTTGATCCAGCAATCCTACTATTGGGCATCTACCCAAAGGAAAATAAATCAATATATCAAAGAGATACCTGAACTGCCATGTTTATTGCAGCACTATTCACAACTTCAAAGATATGGAATCAACGTAAGTATCTATCAACAGATGAAAAGATAAAGAAAATATAGTGTATATACAGAATGAAATATGATTCATCCATTAAAAATAATGAAATTGTGTTATTTGCAGCAACATGGATGAAACTGGAGATTATCATAAGTGAAATAAGCCAAGCACAAAATGATGTAGTATGTTCTCACATATTGTGGAAACTAAGAAATCTGAACACATGGAATTAGAGAGTGGAAATACAGACAAAGAAACTGAGTAAGGTGAGTGGAGTGAGGGGGAGGAGGATGAAGAGAAGTGAGTTAAAGTGTACAAAAATATAGTAAGATAAAAAGAGGTAATTTAATGTGTGCTAGAGAATAAGATGACTATACTTAAAAATATATGTATATACACATATTATACTCAGGTGATAGACACCGTAAATACCCTGACTTGATCACTATGCATTATATACATGTGAAAATCTTTCGGGTACCCCATACATTTACACAAATAAAAATAGAGTTCAAGTGGAAAAATAAATAAATTTTTTAAAGCCCATAGAAATGGAAATTCCTAACAAGTAAGGGAAAGGCAGAAATAAGGCTTGCAAATAGGTTAAGAATATGGGTACAGATTCAGAAGTAATCCACACACACTTGAAAGATGAACCGAAGACACACATAAAATTTCTAAGGAAAATGGCAGAGTGGGAAAAAAGACAAGAAATGAGTCTGAGGAAACACTATTGGAGGACAGAGAGAGGAGAAGAAGCAAGGAAGGAAGATATGAGAACTATGATGACAACAGCCATTCATTTTCAGAGCTAAGAATACCAAATCTTCATTAATAAATTCATTTAAATTTAAATTTCAAGGTTTTTAATGAAGATAAAAAATGTACTAAACCTTAACAATCCATGTACTGTCTCAGATATTAAAATAGATTACCCATGTGACAGGCAGCTGGACATTATCTGTAATAGAAAGCAAAATGATTTTTAATTCAATGTCTCAGAACTAATTTATCATGATTTAAAGGAGAAGCAGAACTTTTTGAACACATATTATCTGTTCCACATTATAGTCATTTATTTATTCGTCAAACATATCCTACACATCCGGCACATACCAGGCACTGCAGGGCACAGTCCTCGTTCTTGGGCTGGCGACCTCACTCTCGTGCCCATTTCACACATTGCTTCCCCTGCAGCCATGCTGCACCTGGTGCCAGCTTTCCCCCTGCAAGGATGACCTCCACAGTGAATTAGCTAGCATTTTCTGAACCCTAGCTATGTGTGCCAGGTACTACGCTAAGTGCCTTATATGGACTTTCTCACTTAATCTTCAAGACAACCCTATGAGGTGGAAATTAGTATCATCCCTATTTTACAGCATGTGAGGCTTAAATGTTGAGAAACTTGCCTAAGGTCATACAGCTTGCAGGTGGTGTAGTCAAGACTCAAAATAGACTGGCTAATGCCAAAGCGAGGATCAACACCTCTCTACTGAAAACGTGGTCCTCAAACTAGCAGCAATGCCATTACCTGGGAGTTTGCTAGAAATGCAGAATCTCAGGCCCAACTCCAGACACGCTCAAATTTGGCTTCAACAATATCCCCAGGTGATCCCTCTTAAAATTTGAGAAGCACCGTGCTAAATCACTCCACTACGAAGACTTGGCTTTAATGAACGCTGGGGGAGATACAGACAATCTTTCCTCCTGAGTAGCAATTTGTAGGGCGCGGGAGGAAAGGTATATAATGTGTTTTCCAAGAGCTAACAGGATTCAGACAAATCCTTGCTGTTTCAAACACTTAGAGATCACTGCGACCAGCGCGGGTCGGGACCACTTCCAAAAGCAGCAGATCTTGAGCTGGATCTTGAAGCCAGAACATGTTCTCATTTCATTAAAAATAGCTGCTGTTCCAAATGGACAAGCAGTAAACTTCTGGAGTTCGCTTCTTCAGCCTGCACTCCACTTTCCAAATAGAACCCAAATATCAACAGCATCAACAAGCAGATTTTAAACCCCAATAAAACATGCTATTATTAAATTGTTAGTTGAATTAGAATTGCCTAGTTTAATTAGTAATATTCATGACAAAACTAGTTTGCCCCTTATTATGAATCTTGCTCCAGGTAGAAGTACAAACACTTGGTGTAAAAAGCAGATGCTCCCCGGTTGGTGTGCAAGCCCCCGTTTGCAGGTACTTAATTCAGGGTGTGGCAGCGCCTTTTCAAGCCCCCTCTGCAAGCCGCGCCTCCTCCCTCTCGAGTGGGGTCAAACTACTTAGTTTATTTCACCCGCTGGCACTTTCTTCCCTGTCACGAATTCATCCTGTCTTCCTTTGGCCTGAGACAGCGTCTTCAGGCGGGTCGGCTCGGACCTGCCCAGCGGGGCGCCCACCTGCACCCGCACCCGCACCCGCACCCGCACCCGCACCCGCGGGAAGGGGCGGCGCTGGCCGGGCTCTCTCGGGTGGACTCGCGGAGCGGCGGCGGCGGTGGCAGACTGCGAGTCACGTGCGACAGAGGGGGCGGAGCGCGGCGGGCCGGGTGGGTGGAGAAAACAAAGCCCCCAGCTGTCAGCAGAGGAAGGAGGCGACAGCGCCGGAGCAGGTGAGTCAAGTGCATTTAAAGCGGTACCGCCCTGGCTCACCCCGACACCCCCTGCCCTGGAGCAGTCCCTCCCAGGCCAGGGGCTGGCCGCCCCTCCTCCTGCCGCTGAGTTCTGCAGCCCACGGGGCTCCGAGCAAGCGGAACAGGGGGTCCAGAGTCCAGCAAGAAGTTGTGCAGGGGTCGGCTAGGCGGTCTCGGTGTGCACCCCGCCGCGCTCCCGCGTGTAGCATCTCTGGTTCGAGGCCCCAGCTCTGTGCACCCCAGAAAAGGGGAGGGAGGGAGTTGGGGCTGCCACGCTGGCAGAAGCGAAGTGGACTGGTTCTAAGGGGTGAGGCTGGGGCTGTCCAGGGTAGGAAGACGGCGTTGGTGAAGGAGGGGGGCTCGTGATTGCGCGACCGCGGCGCAAGATCCTCCAGGCTCTAGCTGGGGAGCCGGGACTGAGAGAGCTGGGGGCGCTGGCAGGGGCTGCGCGCTTGGGGACAGATCAGGAAGTGTAGCGCGCTGGCGCTCGCCCGCCTGGGAGCATCCCCCGGACCCCGGGCACTTCCCCTTCGGCAGCCACTACTCTCCCACTCCGACACCGGCCACCATCCGCGCTCCCGGGACTCAGGAGCCGGGTGGGCGCAAAAGGAAGCGGGTTGTTATTCTGCGCTCAAGCGGCTCTTCTGCAGGGAGCACGGGAGCGCAGGGCGAGGGCTACTCAGCGACTTCGCACTCCGCTCAGTGGGAAATTCTTCGGTCTACTCTTAGAAGGGCTATGCTGAAGCCAGAAATCCCACAAAGAGCCGGGAGAGGGGTGGACGCGGAAAGCCGTCCCCTCTGAACCTGGGGTGCTCGATAAAGCTGACTTTCAGACCCCAAAAGGGCTAGTGGGTTTGGTCACTCCTCCAGTGACTTCGTCAATCCAGTGCCGAGGGCAGAGCCGTAACCTCGGAGAAGGGGCGCTGCAGCCATTTGATCAGGAGAAGCCTTTGTCTTAACCCCCAGGCCCCTCCTGCTAGTCCTCGCAGGGTCAGTAGCGCGGGGAGTAATTAATATTCCGAACGTTAGCCGTTCCTTCACCTCCGCACCAGCCAACACTGCTGTCCCCTCCCTGAGTGTCTTCTCTATCACTTGCTCACATCTCCTTTTCCGAAAAAAAAAAAAAAAAGAAGAACAAAAGGAAAATAGTGCAGACCCGCTAGGCAGGAAGAGGTCACTAAAAACACTATCGTGCTGTCAATGTAGAATCAAGGGTTAAGCGCTCAAACCCGCGCCAGCGCGCACCGAAACGGAAGAACTTCCTTGATTAGCATAGTATCGACCTTGGGGCCGCGCTGCGAGGCGGAGGTTCGGTCCCAGCTGGGGTGAAGTGTGCAGACCGGTCGCGATTGTGGTCAGACGCAGCACCTACTTCTAATCTGAGGACCCGCAATTTACACCTTTGCTGAACAGGACACTGTGGAATGAAACAGAACAGAGATCAAAAGGTAATCTGAAGAATGGCAACATTTCCCCTGCTTCTCTTGAACGGTAAATTTGGCCAAATTTTTATCAAGCAAAAGGGGTATGGTTCTTGGTTAGCCTGTGTCCCCTCTGGAAATGAAATGCTTCCTTACTTTGCTTTCGTTCTTTTCTGCCAAACTGATTAAAGACATCAGTTAGGGGTAAGATAAGAGGTCTGGGAGCTCACCAAGTGATTGGTAGATAAGCTTAACTGGTAAATTTTTCTTGTGTGGGTCTCTATCAAAGCACTGGTTCTAAAATTTTGCTGCATATGGAATCACCTGGGGAGCTTTGAGAACTCCTGATGTCCTGATCACATCCCAAACTATTTAAATCAGGTTGTTTGGGAGTGAGAAATAGGCATAGTATTTAAAAGCAAAAACAAACAACTCCAGGTGACTTCATTGTGCAGCCAAGTTGGGAAAACTCTATAGCAAAGGAAGAGTTCAGTGGCCCCCAGCAAGCAGCAGGCATTGCAAGACAAGATGCCACTTTAACTACTTGGGTGGGTGAGAGAAAAGACGCTGAAACTGGAGTGCCGATGACTAACACCCTGGGGTGGGGAGCTGTGATCTAGCAGCCTAGCTGGTGGTGACACCTACCACATCATTTTTCCCTTGCCTGGCTAGGGTCTGATTGGAAAGATCGAAGCTTACTTCAATGCCTGGTTTCTGCACTGTTGTTAAGGGAAACGGATAGAAACTTCCATTCCTGTGATGACTCATGTGTAGCAGGCAGTAGGGAAACCCAGCAGAAACATACTCCAGCAGCCTGGTGAGTCAGCAGGCTGCACAGCGATCCCAGTGAATAGGAAGTAATTACAGCGAGTAGTTTGTTGACAGGCACAAACTCCACTCCTTTGAAAGCACATTTTAATATCTGATCAGGATCTACTAGCTTGCAGGAGCCACTCCCTTTAAGTACCCCATTCTGCCTGTTTCATATAATGCCCTCTTCTGTTAGAAGGGGAAACACAAAGCTAACTAGACATCCTGTAACTTCCTTGGTGGGAAGCATATAAAAAAAAAACTGTTGGGAAAGTGTAAACTGGTTTGGGTTATTTCAGTTATGTGAAGTAGGATGAATATGTAACACATAACTTTTGCATACAAAAAAGTCAAATATTACTTAATTATACATCCAGGAGTGGATTAAAGGATCTATTTAAATAGAAATGGTTACACTTAACATTTTACATAAAACCTTGTATTGGCTATTAACCAAAGGTTTCTTGCCTTTAAAAAAAAGTCATCCCAAAAGAATGACTCCAGGATAACCTGTTATTTCTGGTTCTTTGCATCTTTAAACAGGTTATCTTAGAGTCGTCAAAAAACAAACTTTCTTTTTCTTCTTTCAGTTTTAATACCAATAAATAAAAATAGTGAAGACACTATTTTTAATGTCACTGTCACCCTCTGTACTGTTGTCTAAATGCTTTCTTCCCCATCCTGAATTTCCTTTTCTTTTCTTTTTTTTTTGAGACGGAGTCTCACTCTGTTGCCCAGGCCGGCACAATTTTGGCTCACTGCAACCTCTGCCTCTGGGTTCAAGTGATTCTCCTGCCTCAGCCTCCTGAGTAGCTGGGATTACAGGCACACACCGTCATGCCCAGCTAATTTTTATATTTTTACAGAGATGGGGTTTTGCCATGTTGGCCAGGCTGGTCTTGAACTCCTGACCTGAGGTGATCCACCTGCCTTGGCGTTCCAAAGTTCTGGGATTACAGGCGTGAGCCACGGCACCGGCCCTCAATTTCTTTAAGGAGGAACAACGGTGTCTTGCACACAGCAAGCACTCAATATTGTTGGCCGTTGAACTTCATCTGAACCTCTCTTATAGCATCTATTGTAGCTTGCTTGGTATTCTATTTTCTCGTGGGGGCCTTAATGTCTGTAGCCCCCAAAGCAGGCATACAGACTTTGTGAGTTACTGATACTGCTTGTTCGTACTGAAGAGTATCAAAAGTTGGGGAGAACACTGAAAACCAAAGCGTCCTGAGTACATTCAGTTTGTTATTTTCCAAGACAGACATTCCAGATATATAAAAGCCGAAGTCCTGTTACAATTCTTTCTTGTTATGATAGCTCATTTGTTCACTTACATTTTATACCCAACAATTTAGCATTTTGAGCATAACTAATAATTATTATCACATTTAACCACACTCTGATGGGCCAAAGAATCACTTCACAAAATTTCACTCTGCTTATTATTGTGAAAAACCACATATGAATTTAATGAGCTAGGAGAGACATTATAGAATAGATTGACAGTTAAATAGCTTTTATTTTCACCTGTGTATTGCCCATTGAACTAGCATAAGTACATTTAAATCGCCAGCATATTAAAAGTAAGAAGTTGGATGTATTTTGTGATAAGTACAACCAAAACTATATGTTAATAAGAATTTCCAAAGGCCAAAATGATATAAATGCATTCATTCTCACTTCTATGTAGCTTAGAAAAAGAACTGGAGAGGCACTTCTGAAATGTCAACACCTTTTTGGGAGGCATAAGAGATAAAGTAATTTAGAAAAACAGAACTAACTTTGGGAGGCGAAGGTGGGTGGATCACCTGAGGTCAGGAGTTCAAGACCAGCCTGGCCAAACATGGTGAAATCCCGTCTCTACTAAAAAATATGAAAATTAGCTAGGCATGGTGGCACACTCCTGTAGTCCCAGCTACTCGAGAGGCTGAGATGAGAGGATCACTTGAACCAGGGGAGGCAGCAGAAGTTGCAGTGATCCAAGATTGCACCACTGCACTCCAGCCTGGGGAACAGAGGGAGAGGCCATCCAAAAAAAAAAAAAAAAAAAAAAAGACTAATCAGATTACTTCATATTAGTGAGAAACTGTTTCTCAGAGTATGATATATACCTAGCTCTGTAATATTTACAAGTAGGCTAAAAGGGGTAGAGTAGGAGAAAGTGTGTCATCTCAATTTTATAAGCTCTAAAGTGTTTGAGAACAGATGAGAACCACCCAGTCTTGTTACCTTAAATTTATACAGCCCTCTGGTCTTATTAACATATCAAAGCTTAAACATAATTGGGTAAATGGTATTCCCAGGTGCCAAATTACGCAAGTGAATCCAACAAGTTAGGTGATCCCGGCAATGCCAAGGCATTGACTCCTGGATTATTGACTCCTTTTCCAGTGTTTATTGCATCATATAGGTTTTGATGCCGTCTTGCCTTGAGGCTTTGGCTACACAAGACTGGTTTGAATTAACTCCTTCCTCAAAAAGTAGAAACTACTCTACTCACATACATCATTCTCTCAGCGACTTCATTCTTTCTTTCTTTTTTTTTTTTTTTTTTTTGAGCCGGAGTCTTGCTCTGTCACCCAGCCTGGAGTGCAGTGGCGCCATCTCAGCTCACTGCAAGCTCCACCTCCCGGGTTCACTCCATTCTCCTGCCTCAGCTTCCCGAGTAGCTGGGACTACAAGCACCTGCCACCACACCTGGCTAATTTTTTGTATTTTTAGCGAAACGGGGTTTTACTGTGTTAGCCAGGATGGTCTCGATCTCCTGACCTCGTGATCCACCCGTCTCAGCCTCCCAAAGTGCTGGGATTACAGGCGTGAGCCACCACGCCCAGCCAACTTTATTCTTAAGTAATTAACCTTTGGAATTAACCAACCCCAAACATTTTGAGCCATCTTTAGCTTTTTATCTAGGTAACCATAATAATAAGTTCTTCAAATCTTTTTCCAAGTCATAGAAGTGTAAACTTTACTAGAGACCCTTACAGATTAGTTCCACCACCCATAGAAATCTTAAATGCCTGGTGCCTCTTCACTAAGGAGTCTTCCAATTTATGCTTGACTGTCTCCCTCAAAGCACATTCCCATCTCTCCTTGCAGCATTCACCTATTGGAGGCCACAAAGAATACATCCAACTCTATATCATTCAACTGCAACCATCTTAAACATTGAAAGAGAATTTATACTCTTTAATCTGAGATAATAAAAAGTCTGGCTTTGGTATTTCAAACCTCTTCATTTCACAAAATTTTTGTTCCAAATTTGCAAGATTTGAGAAGTATCCAAAATTATGTTTCTTACACCAGAGCTTTATCGAATATAATTAATTGGTAAATTTGCTTCCAATAAACCTAATCTAGTAATCTATCACTTCTAAAATCACTGACAAACTTCATACAATTACATTAAGCTGTGTTGAGATGAAACTCACGACTCCATCTGTTTCTAGGATCAGCAAACTGTGACCCATTGTTTGTTTTGTATGACCTTGAAGCCAAGATGGGTTTTTATATTTTTTCAGTCATGGAAAAATATTCAAAGAAGAAAATACTTGAGGACACTTGAAAATTATATAAAATTCAAATCTCTGTGTCCAAAATAAAGTTTCATTGGACTGCAGCCACACTTATTTGTTGACATCTTGTCTATGGCTGTGGCAGCATGGAATTGTTGAACCAGACTGTATGCCCACAAAACCTAGAATATTGACAGCAAAACTGCAGACGTCTGATTTACCCCAGTTTAACATACTTCAAATTTTAAATAAAAATTTCTTCACTTAAAGCCTTAGTTTTTTTTGTTTTTGTTTTTGTTTCCCTTAGAGAAGGTTAAGAAAAAAGGAGTTATCAACTATAGGTCAACTAATCACTAAAAATAAAAGAGTTTATTTTCATATTCTTCTTGTGTACGTGCTTTGCAAAAAGCAGTATATTTCTAAATATATGAATTTTAGTGATATGGTCAACCGTATAACTTCTGAATCCAAAAAGCCCAAATAGTGCAATACTAACTAGTAATCATTTCCAGAGCTCTAGAAGATGTGAAAGCATGTCCTTAAGAGCCATCCCAGTGTGAACACTTCCCTTAACTCTTTAGCCAATGTTTTTCCAACCTATGAGGGCCTTCATATGCTTGTTTTAGTATATTAAGACATAATTTGGAAATTTATTCAGATTTAGAAATTTTTATTGACTGTCACTTCAAACACTTAACATGA